TTTCCTACAGTATCGTTTGCTTACGTAACTTTTGCCGACAGTTCATTTGCGCACAAAAATTATTGTCTACAGCTCGAATGCCTACATGCACTTCTAGCACAAATAAAAATGTATTTTAAAAATGTATTTTAAAAATGAGTTACATTTGGCTCATTCCGGGTGTGTCTATGCGTGTCTAGATATGACCCGGATACGAGTTTAACACACCCGCGAACTCGAGTCCCCGTAACCCCTACATTGCATACAACATCCTGGTTCCTTACCTCGTAAGGAGACCCTGGGATTTCGCAGCAGAGATCGGGCGTCCAAGACTGCATCTAAATTCTTGGGCGACAAGCTGTAGACCATAGATTACAGCTTCTGCGTTTGGGGCTGCCAGTGGGCTGTTGCATCCTGTGTTACGCTGACGATGCCAGGATCTGGAGAGGCGGCGAGCAGTCTCTGCTTCTGCCCCTTCGGGATCTGATAGCTAAGGCATGTGTATATAGTTAATGGAAATAGTTAGGTTGGTTCCAATTTTAGGATAAGGTTAGGCTCATTATTGTTCTTTTATGACTGTACATCGGACTTGTAAGGTGGGAGCTAATATTCCGTGACATGGATGCATTCTGATGAAATGCCGGATAGGCAGTTTCAGGGTGCATCCAACTGGTCGTGCGATTATAAAAGGAGTTTTTTTAATAGGTAGGCGCGATGATGCTGTCCCTTCCTATGATAGAGTCGCGGACTCTTCGAATCCCGCACATGCCAGGGGACCAGCCCCTAGGCATCTTTTCATCACCTGATTAGATTTCCCTTCGGAAGCACCTCGGATGATGGAGGTTTATAAAGATTTTTTCTCCTCCTTTGCAAACAAAAAAAATATTGAACCAATTTCTTCCCAATATTGGAAAAACGATGTATAGCCAATATTGAAAAGTAGTTGTCCAATATTGTCCCAATATTGATTCAACAATATTGTGCTAACAAAATTTTCCGCACATCATGTAGAAATCGCACAAATCGCCACACTTATGTATCCTCATACGAGACTCATATTGCGTGAGGTCTCACGCGTGAGGCTCATGCTAGCGGCTTATCATAGACATTTATGTCATACACGGGACGAAAGGGGGGACAAGAAGGAGTTAATATTGTAATAATAAAAATAATAACGACACATTTGTGTTTTTTATAATACTATATTTTGGATGATGCCCACTCATAGGTAACAATGATATTGGGTTGTCCGGAAAGTCGTGCCGATTTTGAAGGAAAATTAAAGATTTAAATTTTTAATTTCATTTATTAAATTTAAATCTTTTGCGGCACTTTCCAGACAACTCAATAGTTAGTCAATCGATCTCCATGCAATACATTTAGACAATTGTGATTTTGTCTTTTAAAATTTTATTTTTATTTGTGCGCTTGTAGCAATCTATAGGTTATAATACTTGTTATTATACTACTAAGCAAGAATATATGTAGGCAAATCTAACTTGATTTCTAAAATTTTTATTTCTGCACAAGAGTGCACGTAGATAATTGAACTGTAAGCAATAATTTTTATATGCAAACGAACTGTCAGCAAAAGTGATGTAGACAAACGAGATATTGTAGGAAATTTATTTGTAGGGATCTCCCTAATTAATGCTATATATTATCTCGCGAATTTTTGTCAAGATTCAAAGTTAGCAGTAAAATAATTTCTGTAGAATTTGTACGAGGGTAAATCAATAAATTCTTAGAAAATCTGTCAGAGAGCACTCGCAGTGTCATGTCACATTACTTTTTAACAAGTAGCATCTCTCAGCTGATTACTGTCAAATTTTGAGCGGAATTCATCGTGTGGTTTCATTTCTGTAGACAATTAAAGCAAACAACCTTTGTATTTTTTTGGAAAAAAAACGAGTTTCGTGTAGTGATCAAACATCTACATATGAAAAATTTAACACCGAAAGAAATCAAAGAAATCAAACCGAGGTGGATAATGTAACACATCTGCATCAGCGTTTGCGACTATATATAATTGAATGGTGAATAAATTTAAACGTAGTTGTACATCCACATGTGATGCATCTCGTTCGGGACGTCCAATTGAGGCTGCTACGCCTCAGAATCATCGATAAAGTCTACGATATTGTTTTGACTAATCGACGAGTGAAAGTGCTTGTTGAGGCCACAGGCATATCACATGGCACAGTGATTTCAATTTTGCACGAACAATTGGGTGTGAAAAAGCTATCGGCAAGATGGGTGCCGCGTTTGCTCACTGTGGACCATAAGCGCGATCGTATGGCGATTTCAAAACAATGTTTGAAGATGTTTCAACGTAATCCAGATGAATTTCTGTGTCGATTCATACTATGAACGAAACATGAATCCATTACTTCACACCCGAGACGAAGGAACAATCAAAACAATGGATTTCACCGGGTGAACCAGCTCCGAAAAAAGCGAAGACCGTAAAGTCGGCCGGAAAGGTGATGACTACAGGTTTTTGGGATGCACGCGGTATAATTCATATCGATTACCTTCTGTCGAAGCAAACGATCAATGGCGATTACTACGCAGCCTTATTGGATCGTTTCAACAACATTTTAAAGAAAAAAACGTTCCCATTTAGCGAAGAAGAAAGTGCTCTTCCATTAAGACAATGCACATCAATTCACACGTGCTCGGTAGTACCGATAGCCAAATTCAATGAATCCCGCTACGAATTGCTTCCCCCTCCAGCATATTCGCCAGATTTAGCCCCTTGCGATTGTTTCCTGTTTCCAAACCTGAAGAAATGGTTCGGATGAAAGAAAACCATTTACTATCAGAGAATAGCTCATCCAAAACAGAGGCTTATTTTGAAGGGTTGGACAAATCATATTATTCGGACGGTTTGAAAAAGTTGAAGAATCGTTGGATCAAGTGTAAGAGCTGAAAAGAGACTATGTTGAGAAATAAAAATGAATCGATTAAAAAAAATGTGTTTTACTATGTTTTTCTAAAAACTTATTGACTTGCCCTCGTATTATTTTATTTTAATATTAAATTAAATCAATAAATTATGAATAAAATATATGCTCATTATATTAATTGTAAATTTACATTTATTAATATTATGTTGATATTTAATTTGCGTAGACACATATATATACAAGAATGGATATTTCTTGAAAATTTTCACTTCGTTTAATAAATAATAAGTAATTTTTTAATTTTTATTGACATTATTAAATAAGAAGACATTATTAAATAAGAATTGTATTTCCTCACGTTTTTTGCACGTAGATTAATCCCTGAAATCGTGCAGATAAACAACACGTAGTTCAAGCACAGATCTACTCGCACGCGGCTATTGAGTCTTGCAATTACGAAATGTTTGTTTAGCTAATTGCAATTGCACGATAGAGTGCACATAGGATCTGCATCATCGAGAGTGGCATACGCGAACTGACATTTGAAAATACAGAATGACTAGAAAACTAGTAAAAAAAAACTGTTATTGACTTCAATGTAACGTATCTTATTTGCAGGTAAAGCAGTAATATTTTAACATAATTCTTGGATAAAAAAATATTTAATTAATTATTGTTTGTTAACGTCATTTAAAAACATATCACTTAAAAACTGTACAAAGTCTCAACGATTAATAATTCTTTTAAATAGAATCTAGCATTTGGAAATGCAGAAAAATTAGCAAAAAATATTGCAATAAACATATTCCGTTTCTAGATAAAAAAATAATAAATTATTAAGATAATTCTTAATAAATAAATATAAAAAGCTTCATAATGAATATTCATTTATGTATATATATTTTTTTTTAATAGAATCTAATGTTTCGAGAAATAGAATTTAATTAAATAGAATTTAATGTTGATAATACTTGTAAATATGATTGTTTTAAATTACAAAAAGTTATAGTCTTATTTCAACAATGATTAATTTCAATAAAATACACAGGCGACATTAACCGCAGGAGGCGTTCCTTCGTAATTACTAATTACTCTATTTAGTAGGATGTTGTGAAGCTTTATGGAATTAAGCGGTCGATGCTTCGAGTGACGATTCAGCTGTAGTCCGATCTATTGCGTGCTGCGAACAAGAGGGAATGCGGTGAATTGCTCGCCCAATCATCTCATTACACGAGTCTGCCCGCGCGATCTCTACTGTTCCTACAGATAATTCTAAACTCCGGCTCTTTCGCCTATCTATTTCAATTCTTTGTTAACGTGAGAGCCGCATCTACATCCGACACATCAGGCTACGAGCGAAAATAAACTGATAGAACTACCGGATGCAAGAGGATCATATACATGATTAATTTATTAATAATGCAAACGGATACACAACGTAATATAATAGTACAACAGACAAGATAACGTAAGATAATGCGAGTTAAAAAAGCCAGTTTATATATTAAATTACGTTATGAAATAGTATTAGTTCTCATATTTTGCGCTTGTCGCCTGATCGATCTACCATTTCCGTCATGCAATCAAGCATGATTGAAAAAATACAAACATCAGATTGAAAATGATTTTTTTTCTGTTAATATACGATGTAATAAGGGAAACCAATCTCTGTTTCAACCACAGTCTTACGCCATTTATTTGTTTCATCGCTTCTCGATTCGCATGCATTTCTTTTTTGCTTTCGAACTCGCAAATTTTTTTTCAACTATTTAATTCTTTATACGCAGTAATTCATGTTCACCATTCTTGTCATGCTTGCTGGTGACTCGCAATGACTCTTCGCTGGTCGCAATGTCAATGTCTCCGCAGGATATCCGCGTCGCTTTGCCAACAAAAGTACCAGCATAATGGCATCGGTCTCTCTTCTACTTCGTGAACGTGGGCATTGTACAACCATCCCTTTGGATGCGCCGTCTCCCCCGAACCTCTCCGCGTGATCGTCATCGTAGTCGTCATGTTCGTCGGAGTTGTCGGAGGGTCGGAGTTCATTGTGCCACAAGTGCATTCCGAGTACCGGCGACGCCAATTACTCGTTACGAGCCAGTTGCGAATCGCTCTGTGAAAGCGACAGTGACATTTCCCGGAGCGAGGGCTCGGTCCTCGCGAGAGATCGGTCCCGAGATCAGAAAAAAAACGCCGTAGGATTGTGAACATCTGCGAGATGATACTCACGTTCTCGCGAGATAAAGAGCAGCGACATGGTCCCGCGTTTCGCTTATTTCGACACGACGCCAGTTTGCGCGAGGCAGAAGCTTCTCATACAATAAGAAATTAATTTTAATTTTATTTTGAACGCGCGTGTTTTCAACGAGACTTGTGAGAAACGTGATGAATCAAGATTAGCGTGGAAGTGATACAGAAGTCACGTGGATTAAATCGAAGGTGTATACTGCAGTGAGTAAAATTTACAGTAAAAGATAGACAGAATAGATAGAGTTAGTTTCTCATGTTACGTGTGAATTAGTAAAATTGAATTTACATATAATGAATATTGCCAAAATTTTAATTAAAACATAAATTTTGGAACGAAAACTTTTGCAGGAAAATCTTGTAATTAACATTGAAATTGTATTAGCCTTAGTATTATTATTATTATTATTATATTTTATTATTGCTGCAATATATGTATAATAATTAGAAATCGTTTTATCAGAGAAAAGGCGATTCTTTTCACACATCATCGTGTGTACTAGCCCACATAATAAATACATTTAAATTGTACGCGATAATGTGACGCATATCCTTTTTCCTTTCCTCCAGCGAGACGATCAGACGATTGCAACGGACGTGTCATTTTATTTCTTCCTTTTCTCTCCTTTTTTCATAAACTGTCGGCGAGAAAAATTGTTTTTTTCATCTTAATTGGCACGGTGATAATTATAATTACATAATCGCTTGTAAAAGAACTCGGTGAAACGCATAATGTAAACTGAGATAACATCAACAACGAGGATAATTTGCATCTACATTTTCATTACTAGTTTTACAATCCTACACAAGACTCGCCGCGTTCTCGACAAAGGCGTTTCAATAATTGCAAATTATGTAATCGCTGTATTTACTGTCCGAGTTTCTTACACACTGCTTTGGGTGAATTTTTAAGCGGATACAGACTTGTTGCGTATTCATGTATCATCATTGCGTATTAATTCAATGATGCGATGCGGTGTGCCTTTGTATATTAAGCCCGATACATAAGACGCAGAATTAATTATAATATGGTTGTAGGACGCAGAATGCAGATCACAGATCGCAAGTGAAATTTATTTCAGATTGTAATAGATCGCAAAACGAAGGACGCGAAAGTTGAAGTTTACCCAACTTTCTGCGATCTGCGTTCTGCGTCCTACAACCATATTATAATTAATTCTGATTAATTTTATTACTGATAGGCTTTGTAACAGCAATTTTACTGACGCTTAAGGGGCTCCGCACAAAAGGAACAAAAAATAAGAATTTCGATCTATCAAAAACTGTGTATTCCACATACATGATTTCTGATAGGTTGAAATTCTTATTCTCTGTTCCCTGTTTCCTTTTATTATGCGGAGCCCCTAATTGCAAGCTATTTGCAAGCTACTATCTATTGTATTTATGTTTATGTTAACTATAGTCTATTGTATCACTTTATATCTATTACTCTGTTAACATGTAGTCTTTTTCATATAGCTTTGCAATAAACTAAATTAAATTAAATTAAATTAAATTAAAATATGTTAGGTTAGTTTCTAGTTTTACATCCTGTAACCTGCATCTTATATAGATCAGGTTTTATACTATCAAAATTTTGATTCACAATATCTACACTGAAACGCGGTGATGATACAATACACAATAAATCCTGTATCCGTCTTTACATACCTTAATTATTTACACAAGATAGGATGTTCGAAGCGATTTTTGTATAGAAAAAAAGTTGATGATCTCTGATTTAATATTAAAAAACAAATATCCTTGAAGTTTATAATTTAATTGCGCTGGTTTAAGTTATTTTCGTGAGAATTACGTCATTAACTTGTTGCGGAATCTTAGTTTAATAATCTCGATAAATAAATACATGAATATCATAAAATACAAAGCTATAAAACATCAAAAAATACAAATGTCGTGACCAGTTAATCCTCAGAATTTATTAAACCTAAAGAAATTTATTGTTCTTTCATATTATAATTATACACGACACATCCAAAATGAAATCATCTTTTATCAAAGTTAATAAATAAGTAAATAAAAATAAATTTTAAAGAAATTCAAAAACGAAGAGCTTTGATTAATTTTTTATGGATTATAATAATAATTTAATTGCGCATTGCATCTGTATTTTAATTAATTATCAACTTTTATGGTATATAACAATATGTAAAGATTACAAACTGTGTATTTCAAAAAACTTTCTTTCGAAACATTCTAGACTGTCGTAATAGTTCTAAATATAAGAAACAAAATTCTCACGGATAGAACAGCTGGTCGACGCGTTTGAATGAACATCTCAATTTCTTGTCTACTCCACGTGAAGCTAACGAATAGAAAAACCTTATAGCCTATGTGGCACATGTGAAATTTCATGCGACCTTCGTTGACATCATCAGTATTAGTTAATCGCATTATGCCGTGGCTGTTTTTCTAATCAACCGAAATTCTTACTTCTTTTGCATTATTTTCATAATTCATCATTTAATACAAAAACAGCAACTAAAGAAACTTCTAAAATTACAGTTGAATAGTAAATGACGTTACGGAATTATTTGTACACCTTCAGTTATAAATATGTCAAATTAATAAATAACGAGACATTCTGCCGTGGCTTCATCAGATTAAGCCCCAGAATAATTCAATATGTAGAATTAATTAATATACAGAATCGGTACGCAGAATTATCGCGGCATTTGTTATCGCAAAATAGGTTTATCGTCTTTTCTTGTGCAAATATTGATTTCGGCTACGTAATATTTTATTCTGTTAGGCAATATTCTGCATTATTTTCGCGACACTTTGACATTCACAATTGACGCATATTCAATATTCAATGTCGCACTTGTACCGTACCACGATTAGGGTCAGTTAATACTTCCTCCTAAATACCTTTTCGGAGGGGACGTTTCTATCATGCACGCATTACGACAACTATTTCCGACCACATCCTGTACGAATGTCAGAACAGTGTCATAATATTACGACTGAAGACTTAATAGAATTTTTCTTATTCAAAAATTATTACAATTTACAATCATTCAAATTATTATATTACACGACATTGAAATTTGGTCACTGAAATTCATTTATTATGAGTCTGAATTTTATTTAAATTATTGAAATACGAGATACTTTCTATTCGATAATAATTTTTTCTTTCGACTGATGGTACATGAAAAGATGAGAAGATCACTTTTACTTGGACAACGCCAACAATCACCGGGATTTCTTCAATGTGGGTTTTTTTAAAGAAATCGTATTTGAGGCTCAAAAATACTTCTGTCTTTTTCGCAGTAAGTATGATACACAAGTTGTTCCTTAATGTTTATACTGTCTGTATATAAAAAATCTAATCGAGAGGCTCTTTTAGATTTCGCAATTTTACTGAAATGAGTCTTTCGGAGATTTTGTGGATCTTTATCCTAATTGCGACGTTTGAAACAGTGTCCATCGCTAACTCATTGACCGGAGATCACGTTTGCTCAAGAATAGAGAAGTTAGTATTAAAACTCAAAAGATAATGTATAATTATTAGATAAAAATTCATTGTGTACGATCTGTAATTTGTGTCAAAATTAAGAAATAAAGTTCTGTTTCTTATTTTATATATATATAT